CTGAGGGGTAGAACTTCATAGCGCTAATTCGAGGTGAGGATGACCGGCTATATTGCTTATAATCATTGGGTTAATTTCATAAGATTTCCTAAATGAATAAAAATGTGATTTGCATGGATTATTAATGGTTAATAATGCCTAAATGAAATTACTATTGATTATAAGTATAGTGTGCATGATATACAAATTTATGAATAATTGTGTATGTTTATGTGTTATGAATATGATGGTATGATGGTTGTATTAACCATGGATTTTATTTGTGATAAATATACTTCTATTTCATGAGAAGAAGTCATGAACGTATAATAGTGATATTTTGATATTAAGGCCAAATTACACATGAATGAGAAATTATATTGAAATTAATAAATAACTAGTATTGAAATATTAGTTAGAAATGTTAGTTAAATAATTGATGAACTAAATCCTAAGAAATTGAATTGTAAAGAATCGGTGATTATGAGTTGGGCTCTAGACCGATGTAGATAATCGGTGATTACGAGCTGGGCTCTAGACCGATGTAGGCAATTGGTGATTATGAGCTGGGCTCTAGACCGATGTAAATAGCGGTGATTATAAGCTGGGCTCGAGACCGACGTAAATAGCGGTGATTATGAGCTGGGCTCTAGACCAACGTAGGAGTGACTAGAAGTAGGGCTATAGCACGGTGAATTGATATTAAATGAACGAGGTTAACTATAATGTAATAATACCCTAGATTGAGGGTCTTAGAAATTGAAACATTGATTATATTATACGTAGTATAGTTGTCATTGTACTTTTCAAATGCTTCAAAGTACTGACCTCCCCTTCACGGGGGAGGCCACCTCACACTTTCAGGTAGAACTTGAAGGTTGCTACCACCGCCGTTGCTTCGGGAGAGTTTAAGTAGAGAAGACGTGATTCATGCTTCCTCCATTCCTGTCTTAAAAACAATTACATTTAATGCTCATGGATATTATTGTTTTTCTGAATAACTATTTGAGGGCTTGCATGCCTAATTTGCCAAGTGTGGCTTAAACACTTGTAATATCCTTTCCGCTGCTTTAATGAATGATTTTACTTTATGTTGGTTTATGGATGTACTACGTGTGAATGATATTCCAGACGCCTCGTATAGTGTGAATGTGTCGAACTGCGGTTGAATATTCGTACTGTACGAAGGGTTGTTGACGTGTCCAGTAGGTCCGGGGCGTGACAAACGGTGGCTACTATTTTTGGTTGCTGGTTATGGAACTGTCATCTTAGTGGGGGTGCAGCAAGGATTCCATGGTGGCCGGAAAAACTGGCCGGGGAAAGGCCTTTGGGAGGACATGGGGCGGGAGCAGGGGAGGGGGGCTGCTGGCTGGGGAGTGGGACTGGGGCTGGGGGAGCTGGTCTGTTGGGTAAGGGGCAGGTCAAGGGCAGTGGTAGTGGGGCAGGGGCTGGGGTGTGGTGGTATCCGGCGGGGAGGCGATGGTAATTGACCAAGGGCGGTAGTCGGAGTAATTTTGTGTCAACGTGGCTGGCGGCTCGTGAAGATAGTGACACGAGCGGTGGCCGCAGTGACACAGGCGGTGGCCGCAGTGACATTTGATAGTGGCCTCAGTGACACGGGCGGTGGCCGCAGTGACACGGGCGGTGGCCGCAGTGACATTTGATAGTGACATTAAAACATGATAGTGACATTAAGATCTGGGAATGACATTAATATGACCTTCTAGATCACTTTTTTGCCCTTTTTTAAAAGTGGTCACTTTTTTGTAATTGAGTCAAAATTAGTAATATTCAGGACATAATCCCTTATATATAATAGTGGACCAAATTGATTATGTACTCCGTATTTCATATGTGGGAGAAAAATATAGGGAAATTACCCTAAATAGCACTAAATACGTTTGTATATTCCAACATAGGACTTTCATATTTTTACTTTCAATATATGAGTAATTACTATCATCTTTTGGTAGTAACTGACTTAATATGACAATATTTTCCAAAATTAGAATTAATTACTCTAATTTTGGGAATAAAAATATGACAGTCCTATTTTGGATTTTTCAAACATTGTTATTCATATTTCGAGAATTTTCCCAAACATATATATCATGTTATGTCTCCAATCTTGCAATATGCATACATGAGGAATTTACGGCATAGATGTTTATACTTTATACTCATGACTAATGAATCTGTAGCTTACAAATATATTTTCGAATCATGTTGACAACGTGCAATGGGAAGTGTGTGTACTCATTGCACGAAATGGTCCAACTAAATAAGAATAATAAGGCTTTACAATGCACATGTCTCAAGGCCCATTAACTTAGTGTATACATGATCTCCACGCATATTCTATATGTAATACTGATAGTACACTACATGCAATTTCCTTTAACAAATCAATGATTCTTTCATTGTTCCATAGACTCACAAATGCGAGGGAGAGGCAAGGAGTTGCACGGGGCAGGGACAAATTGAGCTTCATGGGCAAGAGCAAATTGGGCGTAGGAGAGATAGGGCCAATGCCCACACCTGAAAAAGAGAAAATTAAGTTGCATAGGTGTTGATGGTCAGCCCCCAAATAGTCAAACTAACCGAGCATTATCCAGACAAACAAATTTGTCTCTCGCTATCTCTTTTCGAGCCCGCAAGCCACCACCGCCTATCGCGCGCATCGCGCTGCCTTGCTGCATTGGAACACCCAGTTCTACAACCAACTTACTACACTGCCGCATGTCGCTGCCGCACTCTGACGTACCCGGTATAACGACACGAACTTAAGCTTTAACATTTCTTTTATTAGTATAAGTATAAATTTAATTATCAGAGTCCGATTTTGTTCACCATCTTTGAGAAGGGTGACCATCACCTCCTCCCTCCAATAAATTTGGCATTACATTTTTTTTAAATTATTATAACCTTTTTTATATATAATCTAAATTTCATAGATATATCAGATTTAATACCGAGTAACTTTTTATGTTTTCTCCATTGGTATCCATAGTTCATATAAAAAATTGTTTTTTCTGAAATCTATTTTTAGCCATTTTTCAAAGAGATATTGCCCTAAATAGGAGTAAATAATTTTGGGGATTCCAAAATAGGATCACTATATTTTTCTTCCCAAAATAGGAGTTGTTACTGTCATGATCGAAAAATATTGTCATGATAGAAAAATAATGTCATTAATTATAATAAATACTGTCATATTAAATGCATAGTACTGCAACTATTTGGTAGCCATGACTAAAAGATGATAGTAAATACTGTCATCTTAGTCCTATTTCAGAAAGAAAAAATATAACAGTCCTATTTTGAAATTCCAAACTCTATTTAGTCCTATTTTGGGAAATCTCCCCTTTTCAAACTTTTAAATACTCCCTCCGTCCCTTAAAGGTTTGCCATGTTTGACCGGCACGTAGAATAATAAAGTAAAAACTGTGTGGTAGAGATTTGTGCAGAGGAGAGAGAAATAACATGAGCCACAAATTGATTGATTAAAATGGAAAGTGGCAAAGTTTTTGGGACAACCAAAAAAGGAAAGTTGGCAAAGTTATAAGGGACGGAGGGAGTATACAATAATGATATCATATGAAATAGGGAAAATAGTCAAATAGGTCCTCGAACTTTTATAAAAGGGTCTATTAAGTCCTTATATAGGAGGCTATGTCCAGCCGTCGCGATTTGGGGCGGTTCCAAGTGGTATTTTTTGATGAATTTTTTCGAGAATCTTATTCATCAGGTCTAGTTTACTCATACCAAATTTCAGCTAAAACTTTAATCCGGAACACATTCAAATTAATTCTTGAAGATAATTGCGCTTTTAATTGCCCAATTATCTTCAAGAATTAATTTTAATGCGTTCCCGATTGAAGTTTTAGCTGAAATTTGGTATGGGTAAACTAGACTTGATGAATAAGATGTTCAAAAAATTTCATCAAAAAATTCCAACAGGAACCACCCCAAATCGCAACGTCCGGACAGAGCCTCCTATATAAGGACTTAATTGACTTGTTATGAAATTCGAGGACCTATTTGACAGTTTTCCCTATGAAATATCATAAAAATTAAAAATATTAATATCTTTTTGAAAAAATTGAACCATAAATGAAAATATTATAACAATTTCAAAGTTTAAAAGAATTGTGAGTCAAAACATAATCTCTCTCCCTAGGGCTCCGCCGCTAGGGTTATTCGTTTCTCCGCTCTTGGTTGTTCCGAGGTGCGGCCTACCTTGGGTTTTGTTTGTTCCGATGGTTGATTCGGTCCTTGCGTGGTGGCTGGAGAACGACGCACGAAGAGCGAAGTCGACTGCGGTCTACTCTGGAGGCGGTAGAAGGAGGAAGGCTTGCGACAAAAGGAAGAACGAAGCAGTATTTTGTGCTCAACGGATGGCGGCTTGGCGAAGGCAGATCGAGGAGGGCTTGATAGAGAAGAAGATGGCCAAAAGGGGTGACGTAGCTACGAGTGTGGGACGAGGAGAGTTACAAGGGCTTCGAGTAGGCCAGATTGTGTTCGACAATGGAGGATCAATTAGCAAGGTACTAGTGGCACGGCCTCCTCCTGAGCCGCCACCATGGGTTGTACGAGGTGCTAGAGTCCGTGAAAGTTTTCCTAGTAGTTTTTATTATTTTGTCATTTGGTTTCTTGTGTCCGTCTTTGTTGTTGATTTTGACAGTTTGTTTGAGTTTGTAGCCTCTCTGTATGTCATTGCGTATGTTTAGATCTATGGGAACATGGATGGCTGTGTCAAGCCCACTACATGGTTAACGATTCGTGTTGCTCTTTCAGGGGTGACCGTCTCTAAGTCTGATCATAGGGTTTACGGTCGTAGTTGTTGGAGTTTAGTTGATGTCAGTTCTTCTTTCCCTTCGATTGATGTAACCATTCTGAAACTTATGATATGAATGAAAGCATGTTCTAATGATATTTTTTTTTAAAAGAATTGTCAATGCCATGTGGCAGCCCAATAGGATGGGTGATAGGTGAACAAAATTGTTCTCTAATTATAGGCCCATCCATCCCAAAATTATTGCCCAGCCCACCCCAAGAATTTGCGAAGAAACGGAAGAAGTGAAGAACGCAGGCCGAAGAGACGAATCTGTGAGCTGCCACGAAGACACGAACACCGGGCACCAGCCCACTTGCGGCCAGCATTCGCGCCGCCGTCCACGCGTCCAGGGCCCTGCGCCTCTGAGTCGACCGTCTTCCCTCTCCGGATCTCCTCTCCGAATCCGCGCCTGGGACCTGCGGTTCTGCCTCCAGCTCTAGGTGAGCAGGTATTATTTAATGTCACTCTTTTAGACTTTTAATTTATTATTTTGTGACTTTGTGTCATTGTGTATTACGTACTACGTAGTACTACGTACGGAGTATTATTTTTGGTTTTGTAAATATTTTAATTATTAATTGATTTTTTCAGTACATAAATAAATAGTATTCATTCATTATACATTTATAATGATTAATGTTAGAGTTAAAGATTAGAGAATGATTTATTTACAAAAATTAGGAATACTTATTAGGTTTATGTACAAAAATTGTTTTTTTCTTATTAGTTTTATAATTTTATAGAAGTATTCATACCAATATTAAAACTGTTTTGTAGAAGTTTTTAACTTTTTACACAAATATTTACATGTTCTTCTTGTAGACGATGACATAATATAACCATTGTTTATTCTTATTAGTTTACATCCACAATTTTTTTCATGTAGAAGTATTTATACAACGATTGTTTTCTCTTATTACTTTTATAATTTTATAGAAGTTTTATAATTTAAAATTTTTGATGAATATTTAAAGTGTTGACGACGTATTATAATGTATGTAAGTATGTTTCTTCAAATTATAATTCTCAGCCCACCCCTTTGTTTGAATTGCTAAACCCAATTCACAATCCAAGGCTGAAAAATAAAATGAGATAACAATATACCAAGTGACCAATGAAGGGCATATGAAAAGCCAATCTTGGCGCATTTGATGCCAGAATTCGCAAGAGGCAATACTTATCGCAGCTATATACTATCGTATTTAATTAGTTAGTGCATAAAAGTGTGTATAGGAGTGAGCCCCTGTATATAACTAACCATTAAAGTAGTCTGTCTTGAATGTATATGAGTGTTTAATTTCTTCATTTTGTTACCTCTGTCCCAGTTTATTTAGCATGAGTTTAAATAAATAATGAGACTCATATACGGAGTATATGACTAAGAATAAAGACAATGGACAGAAATGTGACCTCTTATACGTTATACTCATAGTACCTTTAGTCATATGCTCGTATGTTAGTCCATAAGTTTCATTTCTGTAATATACTTGGGAAAAATTCGAGTCTAAGTACCTTTAATTCTGAAGTCTTTAATTTCTAGGGTTAGCTTTAATAAAAACATAAATGGTGCATCCTATTGTTAATTAGTACTTTTATTAGTAAATAAACAATTGAAACTTTTATTAGAATGATAACTTTCTTTTGACTTAGTGAAGGCTTACTTAAAGATTTACCTCTATTTCTGTAGTATCTAGAAAATGCAGGGGCTTTGGAAAGTTCGCCGTCTGGTTAGGGTTCTGAGGGATAGATCTTCAATTCTATCCAACTCTGAACAACTTCACACCATTGAAGTTTCTCGTTTCTCTCTGCAAAGGCACTGCCAACACACCAATCTGGTTTCTCCATCCTACACAGGTTAACTTCCCCATGCATATGAATGTAGCTATCTAAGAGATGATATTTTATCTTTGTGAATTTTGAAATGCTAAAGTGCAGTACAATAGGGAGAGAGAATTACAGACCTTCATTGGGCATTTCAATCTGCAAACGAATGATTGTTGTCCACTGTGTTATCTAATCGCTGAGAATGAACAGAGTACTCGCTACTCGGGGTAGGGCCTTGTCGAATACTATTTTGAGTCTCACTATTCCATTTTCCCGAGTAACTCGCTGAGTACTCGGCGATTTTAATTACGCGGTGACAAAGTTGACTCTATGAGGTACTCAGCAGCCAGTAAAATTCAATTTTTGGGGTTAAATCTGAAAATTTTAAACTAAATTGGGATATTATGGAACTTTTAATTAATTAGTAGGTATTTGAAAAAATTGAAAAATTAGATTACAAATACAGTATAGGTTCAAGGATGTGGAGGATAAAGAAGAAAATGACGACCTTAAACCCAATGAAGATTGGTTTAGGTCTTTAGGACAAAAGTTCAGAATTAAGTACTATTAGGTGATTGGTTTTCTCTGAAGTTAGAATGTTGATGATTGTTGGGAGTTATTGCTACTTCATCTTTAGGATTATAATTATTTCTTTCATATTAAAAAATTATAAGACTAATATATTCTAGAAATTTGGAGCATTTATGTTTTTAACTTTACTCAATACGTGGCCGAGTAATCACCTAGTAATCCCGAGTTACTTGCCCCTTGACTGAGTTGCCACCACGTAGCGATTTAACTACTTAGGTTGTCTATCAATTTAAATTTCATCGAAAAGAAGATTTTTTTGTTCACTGTCTCGATACTGTTTTACTAAAGTTTGGTGTGTTATAATTCCAATATAGGCTATCTGCGAATTCAATTTTTTTTAAATGGATATTGCAGTGAACAAAATAATTTGAAGATTAACCACTTCACTTGACTGAAGTAAGAATATGTGTATATGTGACACACATTTCACAATAGTGATGACTATTTATTAGATTCTTCTTCCATCTCGAAAGAAACTTCTCGCACGTAGATAATATAATTAATAGAGTTGACATTGTCGAATGAACAGGCATGTCTGGAAATCCTATGCAGATGATATCAAAATACCCAAGAGAATTAGTGTTATCTTTGAAATGCCATGTGTTGCAGAGGTCCTCATATTCTTCTGAAACAACTGATGCTGGAAATGGTTCTACAGGTGATAGTTGTATCACGAATGCCTTTATGCTTTCTGTCTCTGGAACAATAGTTGGCCTAGCTAACTTCTTTACTGTTTCTAATGCAGAAACTGTGAAGGGAATATATGAGAAGATTCTGAAATCTATTGTGGAACAAAGATCAGCTCCTCCAAATGCTTTCCTATGGTCACTTATTGAAAAATGTTCAAACCAAGAAGATATTATTCTCCTATTTGACGTCTTGAAGAGACTTAGAATATTTGTTAGTTATTCTTCCATTGCCTGTAATTTTACAATTGTTTCTACCTTTGATTCTTATTGTGACCGCTTTGTTGTATTTAATGCTCATTCAGAGACTTTCAAATCTTCGAATCCATGAAAATTTCAACTGTGCACTCTGCCAGGAAGTTACAAAGGCGTGCATACGAGTAGGCGCCATTCAGTTTGGTATGAATAGCAATATTTAAAATTATGCTTTTAGCTATGAACTTGAGGGCTGTGTTCAATTTTGAAGATATTTTTTGCTAGAATCTTCATGTCCTACTTTGTGATATGCAGGTAAAAAAGCATTATTTAAGCACAATGTGTATGGATTAAGTCCTAATATTGGATCTGCCCACCATTTGTTGGTATCTACTAACATTTGCTATGATGTTTAATAGTATATGCATAAATATCTATAGTTACAGACGTTTTATACATACGTTTTTTTGTATTTGCGTATTTATGGAGCCACAGGAAAAAAACATCCATATTATTCTTTTTATAGTAAGAATTATACCCATTATTTATTTTACCAACCTTGGAGTGCGCCGGGGGCCTGGGGTGCCCCTTTCTATGCCACTATATGAGTATGTATAATTATCCATCCATTCATTCATTCGCATTTCTTACTAAACTTCTTTATTTATGAGATATAGATTTTACATGACTGCAGATGTATGCGAAACAGCATAACGATGTTGATCTCATGGTAGATACTATGAAACTTGTGTTGAAGAATGATTTACCTCTACAAGCAGGTACAGCAGATTTGGTTTTCAGGTACGTACCAATTATTCGTGATATTTCATCTTGCTTCGCTATCTTTGCTATTCTTTTGGTACTCAATGTTCTTCTATATTCCTTATCTTTATATAGTTGCAAGGGTGATAGCCTTCTAAACTTTTAAAGATTACTGTGTAAAGTGACTTTGCTAATTGCTATATCAATTCATTCTGTTATGTGTGGACTGTGGAACAAGAGGGTAGTGAAATGTTTTTAGCTACAAAGATTTGCGGAACAATAGGAAAGTGGAATGTTTCTAGTCACAAAGAATTGCACCAGACTCATATTGTTTCTTCTATTGGTTATGACTATTTGCAGCATTTGCTACAACAATGACAATTGGGAGTTAATGTGTAAATATGGAAAAAGGTTTGTCAAAGGAGGAGTCAGGTTGCGTCAAGGTTCCTTTGACTTGTGGATGGAATGTGCTGCTAAAATGGGTACTTGCAACCAACCTCCTCCGTGATGTCTGCCTATAGTCTGCTAGTTGTCTAATGCTTAATCTAGTAAGATTTGTACATTTTTATCTGTCTTTTATCGAATTCTTTTACCATCATTTGTAGGAGATGTTGATTCTCTTTGGAAGATTGAGAAGACAAGATCAGAATCCATGAACCGCCACACCATTTCCAGTGCTTTTTCATGTGCTAAGGTAGTTTCATTTTTACACACCCTCCATCATCCGGGATCTAACATTGTATTATACTCCCTCCGTCCCACTAGAATTTTCCCGTTACGGTTTACGATGTTTGACTGACGATAAAGCAACTTAATCCCTGTTCACACTCTGATTATTTTTGGTAAATAAAATTTACAAATTTAGAAACTAAATTAAAACCTCTTCAAAGCCTGATAAAAAAATTGTAAATTTGATAAAATTTTGACATATAATGCAAAAGATTAAAAATGATTTAAGTTGACCATATGAATAGTGGACGGGAACTTTCTAACGGGACGGAGGTAGTATATGTTAAATAAAAATGAATAGCTTTACATAAGTGGTTGATGTATGATGTGTTCCACAGGGTTTCTTGATTGATTGCAAACCAGAAGAAGCCGCCGCTATAATTCAAGTGTTTTATGAGGTAGCTAAATACTTCCTGGATGATTTTTAGAAAACTTGTTTGTTCTTTGCAACATAAAGAATAGATTAAAGGAGCAACAGTTCTCTCTCTCATTGGCTAAATGTTTCTCTACAGTTCAAATATCTTAACTCTCTCTCTCTCTCTCTCTCTTACTGACATATTTGTACTGCATGCATGAAATAGAATTCACCTGAGTCTAAGAGGCAAGCCGTTATGGCTGAACTTCAGAAGCTAGTAAATGAATGGCCTGTTGAAGTTATAAAGCATCAACAAGAGAGCAGAAAGGTAAACTATCTGCTTTAATATGTGATTTGGCAATAATAACATAGATTTCTTTTAGCTCACTTGGCAAATATGGTCTTACGGAAATGCCATATTGTACTGTTGTGTTCATTAGGAATTGGCTGGAACTCTACAAAAGAGCATTCCAGCCATGATCAATGCACTATCAAACATTGGTGCAAAGTTGGAGGTAGATGTGGATAACCTGACCTAGACTTGACAGGAGAAGGTATCAAATTTGATTATGAGGTCATACCAACATCTCACGTCCTCTACGTCCTATTCATGTGATGGAAAGTGGGAGGTATCTGAAAATTGCATCTGATCCACCATTCTTCATCACCAATAGAAGAAAAAAGAACTCTTTGGCTTCCACCTGACATAACATAACATTTGTCATTGTTAGGTTTCTTGTTTTAGAGGCTTGTATCATTCTGATAAGCCTCCTTCCAGTTTTTACCATGAAAGCTTTTGCGGCAAAGCAATCTGGTCAGGTGATTGGCAGGACTATAGTAGTTCAATGGTTTTCGTGAAATCAAACCCTGCTCTTCCCTTTTAAACATCAATTCTAAGAATAATGTCCATTTGATTACATTTTCAATCATGTAGCATGCTTATTTCTATACCGTCTTCAAGTTTTAAAATTCTGCAATGCTTTACAATTTTGGCCTCAAGTATGTTGATGTTATAGTTGTGGTTACCAAGCTCTCTGGTTCCAGATCCTTGAAAAAACTGAACTGAATCGAACAAATCAAGTTTATTTTATGTGTTCATCATTAAGTTTATTTTTGTAGTTCTTAATTTACAGTTTTTGAAAGTTGTTAATGTTTAGTACTAGAGTTATTATGATTTTTGAGATATTGATATATGATACTCCAATTTGTTAACAAATAATTTGCTGTTAAACTTGTGGCTACACTGTATATATTAGAGTTTTTTTAAGAGTTATATTAGAATATTAGAGTGTTTGATTATATATTAGAGTTATCAAATAAAAGTTTAACTTGAGGCTACACTGTATATATTTCGTATATACACTTGTGTAGTTGTGTGTTTGATTATTTTAGAATGATACACTCTAATTTGTTGTTTGAAAGTGCACTTATTTCTCTCATTTTTAATTATGTTTTTGTATTTGTATTACATTATGCGCTATTTATTGTTTGATGTGAGTTTATGAGTTTATCTGTTTATCTTTCGCTTTTGTTTACCAATTACAATGTATTTTAATCATTAAAAATATTTTGGCAAAAAACAAAACCAAGCCGAAGTAAAATGAATTACACAAACCGTGATTTCAAATTATGAAAAATAAAACTCAACTGAATCAAATTGAACTTTTATATTGATTATTCATTTGAATTTAGGTAAAACTCCCATATGAAAGGGTGTAACAAGAATCATAATCGTGTATGTATTGGGTTCTGGAACAAGGGTCTGAGCCGGTTTTGGGGACCTGGTAGTGATGGACCCGGGCCGGGCCAAGGCCCGGTTGGGCCTCGGGTCTGGTAGAGGTTGGCCCGGGACCGGCCCGGGCTATGGCCGGTTCCGGTTCGGGCCGGGCCACCCGGCCGGGTCACGGTTCGGGCCACCCGCCGGGCCGGGCCGGTTCATTTTTTTTTAAATTATTATAGATTATACAAATTCCTATTAAAAACAAAGTTCAAGTGCATTTATTTGAAATAGGAACTACATTTGAGAATTGAGAAAAAAATAATAATACGAAATACATTTTCTAATAAATATCAATTGGGCTTTCCGCCACCGTTGATTGTTGTTTTCCCTTTGTCAATTGTCACAGCCTTACAGGACTTCATATGTTATATTGGCATCTCGTATCCGTGTGAACGTTTCAAGCTACACTCTTTCTTGTACCACTTGCAAGTTGTCCATCACAGTCTGGTCTTCGGGTCCTTCCACTTGTCAAAATTGTTTTGCATAAGGAAAGATGTACTTTCCATCTTTAAAATGGTATATGTATAAGTAGGAATGTAGGATAATAAGAGAAGATGAAGTTGGAGAAGAGTTGGAGAAGAGGTGTAGAAAAATGTTAGAAAATAGATGTATTTATAGATGTTTTTGAACCCACTCCCCACACCACCACCCCCGGGACCCCCCCCGCCCCCCACCCAAAGCCCCAACGGCTATATAGCCGTTCGGGAGGTTTTTTTTTAAAAAAAATTAAATCTTTTTTTTTAAGTTATACATATTGTAAAATAAATTAATTAATTTAATGAATTAAGTAAAGCTATTTGTACTTAGAAAAGTGGTTTGATTTATAATTTACAAATGTTACAAAATAGGTGTATAAGTATTTAAAAAATTACATATTGTAAATGTATTTTTAATTTAAAAACCGCCTTTAGATTTTAGAAAAATAATTTTAAGTCGTAAGTTTATAACCAATTAATTAATTTGAGAAGTGCTACATATGAAAAAATGAACGCATATTTATTTGAAATATGAAGTACAAGTTACAAATTAATTTGGAGTACAACTACATGTTGGATAATTGATACCCATATTGTACGAAAAGGAAAGATTGAACAAGAATGTAGGAGAAGAAGATATAAGTTGTATAATGAATGAAATGTGAGTTCTATGAGTTGTGAGTTTACAAGCCTCCTATAAGGAGTATATAAAGAGAAAATTCGGGTCTGGGCCTCTAATATGGGTCTCACAGACCCGGTTACATAAATGGACTGATAGTATAAAAAGCTAATCTAGAACATCTGAATAATAATGTACAATAATATGAATCCGCTAAATGTGTGTGGGCCCCTGTCCAGGCCCAGTAGTCGGCAGACCGAGGGGTTGGAGTCCATATACTCCATCACTACAAATTTACAATTTTGAAATATGAAGTACAAGTTTACAATTTTGAAATATGAAGTACAAGTACAAATTAATTTGACAAGTGCTACAAAATACATTTCATAATAAATTCGAAAATACTAATCAATCGGAATCTCCGACATAGGTAGAGCCACCATCGGTTGTTGAGTCATCCATAAAATCTTGGGAGGGGGTGATGCTCATTTCTTGAGTTCTACGTGCGGCCTTCAACCAATCGTGGTAGCATATAAGCGTCTCAAGAAACTCCGCGCTCCATCTCGATCTAGATGCCGTTAGGACGTTGCCGGCCGAACTAAATTCTTGTTCCACAACAACTGTTGAAACCAGCATTGATAGTACTTGCTTAGCCATCCGTGCTAAAATCGGGAACGTTCTTTCTTTTGACTTCCACCAGTTTAGAACGTCAAAGTCATCATTTTCTTCAAAATCAACATCATATGTTAAATACAAAGTAATCTCATTCAATGCACTTTGTTCAATGACGTGAGTTGTTTTAGTTTTTTTCATAAGATTTCCAAATGCAGATTTTAAAAATCGATTTTCCTTTAGATGAAGATGTTCGTGTCGGGGGAGGGGGAGCGTTGCTATATTGTGCACGAAACTCATTAAATAAGGCATAAAATAAAGCACTAACCTCGTTGTATTCCGTTTTTAGATCTATGGGGTTATCGTCATACATTGGAAATTCACCAAAAAAAAGCAAGATAATAGAAGTTGAAACAATCTTCCAAATTAGTTAGTCTAAAACGAGGATTGAGAATAAATGGAATACCATAAATATGGGGAATATGCGCATAATATTTTAAAAACTTTTCCTTCATATAATCACAAAAATAACTCACGAAAATGGCATTCTCAAATTCTTTAAAAGCACCGGCGAGATTAACAGCTTCACGAATAAATTGGTTTGCGGTAGGTTTATAAACATGACTAAAAGTTTCAGTTGCATTAAAAAAAATATCAAAACATTACAAATTTTTTCGCAAGTGTCGATCTCAGCCGAGTTTATAATATAGTTATCATGTTGTTTTAAAAAAGTAGGAAAATGTTCTTTATATCTAAGAACAACTTTAAGTAATTTATAAGTACTATTCCAACGAATACTCAAATCTTTAGGAAAAGCAACATATCTCACACCTCTTTCAATCAAATAAGTTTGCCATTTTAATCTAAGTTGACCATTACCCCAAATACGTCTAATCCCCCCCCCCCCCCCCCCCCCCCCGACTACCTCCATAGCATCTCCTAACGCTTTTAGACCGTCTTGTACACATAAATTTATAACATGGCATGCACAGCGTTGATGAAAAAATCTACCCATCAAAGTATTGACACCACACAATTCACGCAATCTAGGTATAGCAGCAGTATTATTAGTATCATTATCGAAACCAATAGCAAACACCTTATCAATCAAATTATACTCAATTAAAATACGCTCAAACAAAATATAAATATGTTCATCAGTGTGACGATCATTAAATTCACGAAAAGCAAGAACACATTTATGCATATTCCAATCCTCATCAATATAATGTGCAGTGAGACCCAAATAATATAAATGATGAAAATCATGCTCCCATATGTCAGAACAAATAGTAACACGCCCATCAAAGTTTGCAAAAAAATTTTGTAACCTTGTCTTTTCCGCATTATAAAGCCTTATAATTTTTTTCTTAACAGTTTTGCGACTATAACTTCTAAATTGAGGATTTAAACTACCTTGTGTATAATCTTTAAAGCAAGACTTTCAGAAAACATATAAAACAAATTTTCTTCACAAATTAAGTTAGCCATACCAGTCAAATTTTGTGCATCATTGTAGGAGAAATTACCAAAAGGTTGAGAATTCGCAAACCTCGATATTTGAGTTTGCTTACCCATTCCGCCGCCTAATTTTGCATACTCCACGGGGTGCTTTGCCTTAAGATGCCTTGCGGCGGATCCGTATCCGCCGGAGGTCCCCAAGTTATAATTGTTGTTGCACCACTTGCAAGTTGCGTGCCAATAGCTGGTTTGTGGGTCCTTCCACTTATCAAAATTATTTTTTATTAGTTCAGATTTACTTTTTTTATTACCGGTAGCGGTTTGGGATGAGGCAGGCTCGTTGGCGTCGTGGCTGTCGGCACCCTCCTCCTCGGCCGTCTCTGGTTCCATTTCCTCCGCATCTTCATCCTCAAGCTCCTCTTCGTCAATGGTCGTCGGGATTTGTTGTTGTTGTAGAAAGCGGTTATTATGTCAGACCAATTCTTGTTGTAGTTGTTCTTCGGACATCGCATCTCCATCTCTCCTTTGGTAATCCATTTCAAAATCATCTCGGCTTTGAGATGAAGAGCCGACAAGTTCTTTACCTTTGCGGGATTTCTTCCTCCCAATCTCGTTCCTTCAATTGGGCTCGAGGTTACCCAAATCAACCGAATATCTACCACCTTCCATCTTAAAAATGTAACAAATATTAATTGGCAACAAATATAATAATGAATACAAAAGTAATGCAACTAATTAAAACTATTTTAAATTTTTAATTAATACTTCAAACTAATTTAGTGCAAACTAGAATTAATATGTGACTCTAAAATTAAAATTATAGCAACTTTTCAAGTACTTTAATTAAGTAAAAACTACTTAAATAAAATGTTAAGTACTTTAATTAAATGATTGAACTACTATTTTTTCGTTCAAATATAAATTGAAACTATTATAATGTGAATTTAACTATAATGACAATTAACTAGTTTTTTGAAGTAGAGTTGTTTTAACAATTAATGGGAATACTAATTAACTAATTAACTAGTATAATGAAAAATGTAACAAGAATACTAATTAACTAGTATAATGAAAAATGTAACAAGAATACTAATTAACTAATTAACTAGTATAATGAAAAATGTAACAAGAATACTAATTAACTAATTAA